TCAAAAGGAATCGGATGAGGAAAGCGTAATTGGCATACCGCCGAGCATTGAGGGACAGCAACCGGATGAGGAGGAACTGGAAACGGAGGATGGCAGTCGCCTCAAGAAGAAAACTGCGCGTATTAAGCGGTTCTTTGGCAGCACCATGCGTAAGACGGTGGACAAGGCCAAGTCGATTGCGTCAGAGGTGTCACATGCTCGCCACAAAGAGGACGTGGCTGACATCGTGGACGCCATGAATCCCGAGCAAAATATCAAAATCAAAGCATCCTCCTCTAACAAGGGTCCTTACGAGTTCACCAAGCTGCAGCATGTGCAAGATCTCAGCGGAGAGGATACCAGCGCCGTGTGGTGCATGAAGTTCAGCTCTTGTGGACGCCTGTTGGCCACCGCTGGGCAGGACAAAGTGCTACGTATTTGGGTGCTGAAAGATGCGTACCCCTACTTCCAGGTAAGTCGTGGCGCGCACTTTGGGATTATATACCTTGCTAACAGAGCAATTTCTTTGCAGGACATGCGCAACAAATACAATGCGGATCAGAAGTCCTCGCCAACGCCATCGCAGGAGTCGCTGGTGTCCCAGCATTCTGCTGAGGAGGCCATTGCCATGGCTACCGCCGCCGAGAAGTGCACGGGTCCGTTCATGCCAAAGCCCTTCTGCACGTATAATGGCCACACTTCGGATTTGCTTGATGTTAGCTGGTCGAAAAACTACTTTATACTATCCAGCAGCATGGACAAGACTGTACGCCTCTGGCATATCTCCCGGAAGGAGTGTCTCTGCTGCTTCCAGCACATTGACTTCGTCACGGCAATCGCGTTTCATCCGCGCGACGATCGTTACTTCCTGAGCGGCAGTCTGGATGGCAAGCTGCGTTTGTGGAACATACCTGATAAAAAGGTGGCGCTCTGGAACGAGGTCGATGGCCAGACGAAGCTTATCACTGCGGCCAATTTCTGTCAGAACGGACAATTCGCCGTGGTTGGCAGCTATGATGGTCGGTGCATCTTCTATAACACGGACCAGCTAAAGTATCACACGCAGATCCATGTGCGATCCACGCGCGGAAAAAATCGAATTGGTCGCAAGATCAGCGGCATAGAACCCATGCCGGGCGAGGATAAAATTCTGGTCACCTCCAATGACAGCCGTGTGCGTCTCTATGATCTGCGCGATCTGAATTTGTCCTGCAAGTATAAGGGCTATCTAAATGTGTCATCGCAGATCAAGGGTTCGTTTAGCCATGATGGTAAATATATAATTGCCGGCTCTGAGAACCAATGCATCTACATATGGAAAACGAATCACGACTACTCCAAGCTGAGCTCGGTAAGAAAATTATCGATTGGTTTCTATCGGCTTAGCAGCATTTAGTAATGTCTTCCTTTACAGGTTCGTCGAGATCGTAGCGATTTCTGGGAGGGCATCAAAGCACACAATGCTACTGTCACCTGTGCCATATTTGCGCCACATCCGGAGGCGATTATCAAACCGGACCCCGATGAAATTTCAAATGATAAGGTGGGATTTTACTTATAACTGATGGATTATAGTAAATTATTTATACGGATTTGCTTGGTTTACCAGAACCCACATACATATGTGGATTGTAGTAATATTCAATACGGCATTTCATGCTTTAATCATTCCCTTGCTTCAGTCATGAATCACCATGCAGAACACTATAAAGCACACTTTACACAGTCCACAGAGTTGAAGCACCTTTGTTTGACTCTGTTCAATTGTTATAGACTAATAACTTTTTCATGTTTCTCTCGTTCTATACAGCTGGCAAACAATCAGCCAGATCCGCTGGTGGAGCAGCACAAGAAGGGCTGTGGTTATGTGCTGGTCAGTGCCGATTTCAATGGCGCCATCAAGGTGTTCATCAATAAAACAAAGCCCAAACACAGCAGTCTGCCCTACACGGCCATTGCGGATTAATCGAGGCGCCGTCGATATGTCAATTAGTCGCTGGAAGCAAACGGCAAACGGTGGTAAACAGAATCGGGAAAGGGAACGTGGGTGGGCAAACGGTAAATGTAAAGAAGGCTAAAAAAAAGCTGCGTGAAAATCTCTTGTTTTTTTTACTTTTGTGTATTTGCTTTTGTTTTTGCCCCTCTGTGTGTATTTAATTGTATTTATGACAAGTGTATATGTATTTTGTACGGATTAATTGAAATAGCATTAACGCTTATTTATATATTTAAACTATATCGCTATCTAAGATCAGTCAGATCGTGTAATGTCTTACATATAGTATATATATACAATATACTTATACTGATATATGTGAATTGTTGATGGATATTCGAGGAGCGTTTATGCTTGACAAAACAAAAAATCATATGTTTTCTAATGTTAATTATTTTCTAATGGCAATTCTGTGTGAACTATATATGTATGGATGTATGTGTGGGGCTGTGTATGTGTGCTTGTAAATTAGTTGATATTTTATTGCTTGTTATTTAAGAACAAAATTAACTGAGAGCCAATTGTATATTTTGTTCATTATTATGCAAAGTAATTCTAAAGCCACACTCTCACACACACACACACGCTCACACACATACACTTATATGACTAATAATGATAATTAGCTTGTGGTAATTATTTAATATACTATATAACAATATGTGTAAAGAAGTAAAGATATGCGCAGCTCCTTTGGGGTATGCCAATTGTGCACTTAACTGAAGCCGGCATTTTTTATATGGGCACGTGATAGCTGATACATACAGCCTTTAAGCCATATACGTACATATATGTATATATATGAATCACGTCAATAATCGGAGTCTACCCGGGAGTGATTTCATTAATGTGAGTAGTATATATTATAAGAAGGGTCTGAAGGGTCTTTTCAAACTATTCTTGAAGTGGATTAAAGCCGAATGGGTTCTACTAAGACTGGATACGGAAAAACGATGAAAAAAAGTCGAAAAAGATTTTTTAAAGTTAAATTTTACTTAAACTTTTGGTAAACTTATAAATTCGAGTATTTATTTATAATTCAAACTGACAAATATACCATGAATGGGTCGCAAAATCTTTCTTTTTCCACATTGTTAAAGTATTAGAAATTCTTATGCCTAGCATTTTTTATACAGCTCTCAAAATGCGCTGCCCAAGGGCATTTTCAGTTCGGCTTTCATAAGTTAATTATGATTTTTTTCCGCTATTGATTTTGCACGTTCCCCAGCATGCGGTATTAGAAGCGGTTGTTGAAGTGCTTCGCCAGTAAAGCAGAAGGAAGGATTAGAAGTGGCTCTCGGGAGTGTGGCTGGCGACGACAGCTATTTAGCGTAAGTTTAACCTTCATTGTTGGGGCTTCCTAATGGCCGAAGGGTGCGTTCGAGGCAGTCGAGTGTGTGTGCGTGTGTGTGTGTGTGTGTGAGAGGGATAATCCTTTGTGTGTGATTTAAAAAATGGAATGTTTTTTGAGTCAATTGTGTTGGGCATGCTTGGTAAGTGTAATTGCAGCTGGTGCTTTGCCAATTCCCGACTGCGACAAATACTCCAGACTGGCCCAAACAATGCCGGCAATATAAACATGGAAATATATATCTATAGATATATATATGTATTTATATATATATAGATAGACATACATACATATATGCGCTGCAGCAAATGAGCGAAACATAAAGAAAATCAACAAAAAGTGTCGGCAAATGAAAATGGGAGAGGCTTCGGTTCCCTACTTCATATTTTTTTTGGCCGGAAGAGGCGACTTCCTGAGTGCCATGGAAATCATTTGAAGTGCCTGGCTGAAGAGAGGGCTTCCCCGGCTAGCTGCTAGGCGAATTCTTATTTGGGGCGGTTCTGTGGCGCAGTGGGTTGACTTCTAATATAAAGGCAAATACAAAAGCAAACACAAATACAAATACGTTCGCATCAACCCCAAAAAAGCGAGCAAGATTTATATGTAATGTGGAGTTTTAGAGTTCCTTGAGTAAATACTTTGTCCATGTACGTATACTTAATGTATCTGTGCCGACTTGCATTTGTCTGCAGTCAGTTGCGGACGGCTAAAATAATTGTTTAGTCAGACAGCAAAGTCACTCGAAAGACGATTAGCGTTTATGTTCTTTTTGGCGTCTCTTGCAACATGCAATCAATAAAGATTTACGTAGTTGTTGAGCAGGACAGATTTGCGGGGTTGGGGCATGGGGCATGCGGCATGAGGCGTGTGGCATGGAGCATAGCGTGGCAATGCGGCAACAACAGCTGTTGCAATGGTTGGGCGGCCGGTCGACCACAGCAGCCAGACGCCGGCGCCGGCCCTCAGCAGACCCGTTCCAAATGCCAATCAATGCACTTTTGGCCATGTGCCAAGTTACTCTTTACATAAGAGAAAGATAGGGAGAGACAGAGGGAGCCGTAAGTTGAACAGCGGTGTCCGCTTATGCTCTTAAATAGCAGCTAAAGAGAGACGTGGAGAACAATATGGATGCAAGCCACTCAACTACAATATATATTATTATCAAGCCAATGTGACTTAAGTTAACTCATTTTAAGACGCCACATTTATTATCTATTTGTAAAAATTCGCTCTTAAGGGCCAAATATCATCGCGCTGTTACTTAACATTACACATTAACAGCCAGCTTAAAGTCTTAAGAGAGTTGAAACGGCTCGACATTAACAGAGCGCATTTTAATAGAGATGTGCGCGCGGCAGTCGCGTGAGTTTTTCGTGGTCAAGCGTAGCGAGAGTTCCCGTTGAGTAAGCTCAAGTCGAACTTAAGAGAGCCCAAAATGAGAACGAACTACAAAGCAATATAAAACAAGTTTGATATAATAATATCTAAACGCAAATATACAAATAAATGGCTCCAAAATAGAGTTCGTGATGCACGTCTAATATAAATGTTTTTGTCACGCGCACATCGTTGGCATTCACACACTGACGCACCCACTCACACACACATCGAATTTGTAAACACACAATGCGCCGAGATTGAGCAAGGTGCGCTTAGCTCTTACATTGCTCTCAGTTTATTTCTGACTCTCGTGCAAAGCGCAACGTCGAAACGGACGGCTCGTATGGTCGCTCGGTCGCTAATGTTGTGTGCGTGTGTGTGTTCGGTGTCGGTTTTCGGGTTCGGTGTTTTTTCGTGTGTGTTTTTCGGTGCTTTACAAATGCAATACAAATGCAAATGCAGTGTAACTAATTTACATAAATATATAGAAATAAAAATATTTTTAACAATTTTTGAAACAAGAATTTTCTGGTCGAAAATAGCCATGCCACATGCATGTGCGTGTAGATCTGTGCGCGTGTGCTGCATCGAACGCTTGCTGTGTCTGTGTGGGTGGATGACATTCTTTGGACCTGTGTGCAGGCAGCGCCTTAGCACTTAATTAAATTAAACAAAACTTAAATGAAATAAGCCCAATCAAGCGAGAACTCAAAGTGCAAGCTGTGTGCGTGTGTGTGTGTATGTATGGATGTAAATATGTCGTTTATTGTTGTTGCAGCAAAGCCAACTGCTCACCGCATAACTGTTTCTTTTTATCGATCAACAAATTGTCGCTTATCGTAGATCGATCAATTTGCCATGACCCCAAATCGCACCACCAAATTCTTAGCGTTCATCAACACTTGTCTGAATGAGAACCAAAAAACTGTCGCTTTTCATGAAATTAAGTAAAGATAAACTCGTTTCTGTGAATATTTCATTCAAATCTTGATTTTTTTAACGATTTGTTTGCATTCTGTTTAATTCTTTATCAGCTTTATTTATTTTTAACTGCCTCGATTTCCATATTAAATTGCTAATTATGCATTTTCTTTTTTTACGGTTGATTTTTTTTGCGGCGTAACACAGTGCTTGGAAATGCACGAAAATCAAATTCTGAAATCGTTTTTTAATGATCATACGTTAGTTTTTCTTTCATTAGATGCACAATTTGCTGCGGCTCAAACGCTTCATTAATTTACAATTTATTCTGGGCACATTTGCTGTTCGGCTTTTTATCGTTTTTATGTGCCTTTTGGCTTAATTAAGCTTTCTAACAGCGTAACTTAATTATGACGTGTGCATGTGTATGTGTGTGTGTGTGTGTGTTTTTATTTTTTTTGGCTCGCCCGCAACAAGACACAGAAATCGTGCAAAAGCTAAAGATAAATCAAAAGACTTTTTAAAAGATTCAAGACATTAAAATTGAACAAGCTTGTTCAAATACATATTTAAAAAAATACTCGTATTACTGATTTTAATTTGAATACAGTGATCGTTCGAAAATTATATAAAATTTGTTCTCTTTTGCGAAATTTAAATAACAAACTTTTTATAAAATTAAATAATTTGTGTATAACAAGAATCGAAATTCTAAAGCCCATGTATTTAATATTATTCGAGCAATCGCTGTATTCTATATATGTAATATTAAAAAACTAAAACCCTTTCACTTCAAAAACTCACAGAGAATTCAAAGTGCAACAAAAACAACAACGAGCTAAAAACCAGTTTCAATAAGCCAATAAACCAATAAGCAATAAGCCAAACCAAATACAACAACAACAGCAACAGCAACACTTAAGAGCAACTAGGCCCGTTAGTGCGCCGCCGTGGCCTATATTCAAAATAGATCAGCCGCAGTCTCAGTTGCTGCCGCCGTCGCAGTCGTCGCCGCAGTCGCAGTTTCAGTCGCCATCGCCATCGCCGCAGCCATCGCAGTTGCAGTCAAAATGCTAAAAACAACTTCTACAACAACAACAACAGCAGCAGCAGCATCAGTGGCCGCCGTCGCCTGAGAACGCAGCTAAAAACAAGTTTTATGCTAAATAATAATAAATAAATAAATAAACGCATCGCAATACCAAAATACAAAGTCGAAGAAGTCGAAAAGGTGCAAGAAAAAAAGAAAAAGAAACAAGTCAAGAACTTGGCCAACGGCAGGAGTCGACCTGGCAAATACCCAGTGAAGAGTGCAAAAGAGAAAAGCAGTTGAGAGCAAAAATTTATTTTGCTCGGCTCTAAAACTGTAAAAGCAATAGCTCCCAAACCGTATCATAAAATTAAGTTATTTTTGTAAGCAAATCTGACTAAAGAACATTTGCCTTAGCATACCCGATTGGCACACTCGTGTTGAGGGTATCAAAAGTGACCTACAAATACGGGTTTTGCGCCTTGGAACCAATAACAGCGACAACGCGTGAGAACTGAGAGGCAAATGGCAACAGCAACGGCAACAAAAACAAGCGAAATGCAGGCAACACTTGCGGTTAAGCGACCCGGTCCGCCAGTGCCGCCCAGGCCCAAAACAGCAACAGCAACAGCAACTGCAGCAACTGTAGCAGCAGCAACAGCAGCAGCAGGAGCTGGGGCTGTGGCAGCTGCCACGCCCTGCCCGCCGCTCATACAAAAGAAGCCCACATTTGTTAGCCAACTGAGCGCCGTGGGACGCACCTTGGTGTACAAGTCGCCCTCGCTGAATCTGCAAAAGAAACAGGCGCAAACACAGACGCCCACCATGGCGCTAGTGAACAGTGCAACGGCAACAGGCACCGCAGCAACAGCAACAGTTGCTCCCGTTACAACAGCTCCACCTGCTGCACCCGCAACGGCGCCGAAGCCTCCGCTGAAGCTGCGCAAGGCGCCCGCTGTGCCCACAGCCAAACCTCGAGAGTCGGTTGTCAGCGTGAATCGCACCAACAGCCTGACCACTCAGAGCACTCCGCCCCACAAGGACACGCGCCTGAGCCTGGGCAAAGTGGATTTCGAGCGGGCGGGTCTGTTGCCTGCCGCTCAGCCGCTGCCCAAGCCGCGCAAGATTGTTCAAATGCCGGTGGCCACGCTGGACGTGGAGGATGTGCCCGTGAGCAGCATCTTTAGGCGCTCCAAGACAACGCTGGACAGTCCGCTGTCCAGCCAGAGCAGTGGAAGCAGCTATTTGGGCGGCAAAACGGTGGAGTTTAAGAATAATCTGAAGAATGCTGCCGAGCGATTGTTCTCGGAGATCATCATTAGCCAGACGCAGAAGCAAACTCTGGCCGATACGACCATTATAACCAAGCATGAGCGCGCCATACAGCATCAGGCACTGTTGGAGCAGGAACTGGCGCAGGAGCGGCACAAGCGGCAGCAGCAGAAGCAGCAACAGCAACAGCAGCAGCAGTTGGAGCGGGAACGGAAACAGGAGCAGGAACAGGAACAGTTGAGCCAGGTGATTCAGGCGGCAGGCAACTGCACGCGCATCAACATAAATACCAGCAACGTCCAGCCTCAGGCCCAGGCCCAGACCCAGCCCAAATCGAAGCCAATCAAGAGTTCGGTCAGTGCGGGCAACACGCCCGAGAAGAAGCATGCCTTCCACGAGCTGCTCATCTCGGAGCTGGCGGCTATGCGTAATCGTGCCTGTTCGCTGGAACAGTTGCCCACCAAGTGGCAGGCCACGCCCACTAAGACACGTCAGCGTTACAATTCGATTGAGGATGCGGATACGGAGGATGTGGACGCTGATAATGTGGAGGATGCCGATGGCGACGAGGAGGACGACACACTGACCTATGCAGTCAATAAATCACTGAAGGATAATGCAAATGGCAGCTCGACGCCACGCAAACGCTGCCCCTCCGGCTGCTCCTCGGACTCGTCACCCTATGGAACAGAGCGCTCGCAGCGCATACGTACGTCCGATTGGATCGAGGTGGGGGATAATGGCAAACAGGTGACCCTCACCAGCTGTCACATTAGCTTGGAGGACTCCGGCATGGAGGATGAGGAACGACTGGACGATATGTCATCGTCGGGCGTGGGCGATAGCTGGGATAGTGTCAAGGAAGCTGAGCGAGAGAATGAGAAGCGTTGTCGCAACGTCAAACGGTGAGTCAGAGATTTACAAAATTCGGTCCGCATCTATACAGTATAGACAAGTGCAATATAATGATGATATAATGGGTTATTTTTGGGAATTTTTGTCAAAATTTAATGCATCAACTGAGTTCATCAAACAGCAAGAATTATTATAGATGGAATATGCCAAAATATAGTATATGATATATACATATATATTATTTCGAATGTCTATCGTGCAGCCAACTCTTATATATGACATCAAGCTTATTTTTAGGAAGTCCATATTATTTAATCTAAACTATACAAATATGTAATACCTAATATATTAAATAATTAATTATTATAATATACAATTTAATTGGAATGGGTTATTCCCATGTCACTCTGACACTACAATTTCGTAATAAAATCAATGATAAATTTTATTCTACTATAGTCATGGATTGAGGGGAACTTTTCATTTTGAGTTTGGAATGCGTTTCATGTGTAAATTTGTAAGAATTTTCTACTACATTTATAGTTGTAATACAATATTATGTAAGAGTTCTATACCATGCATTTTTAATTAAACAGAAGCATTTCCATTTTAAGCTTGTATGCTTCAGTAATGAAAGATTAATATTCCTTGATAAGTGTGGCATTATGGAGACATATTTAAAGCAACCCCCATGTGACTCACTCGCAGCGTGATTAAACTTTACTCTCGTTTACAATAATCTGTTTGTTCAGGGACAAATGTTTTTATCGAGTATTAACAAGAGAAACTGGTTATATGAATGCCTATGGCAGAGGGCTATATAGTAACATTGAAATGCATATAGAAAATATAAATGAGGAAATTAAAAAACAGATGTACGATATCTAAAACTTCCCTTTATAAAAATCTTATATATATATAATTACATATTATTTCATTTTTAAATTGTTTGCCTTAGTGCAAACTCAAATCGTGCTTCTGCTGCAGTTCCTAAGCATTATTCTGTATAAGATATTTGAATTATAAGCATTTACGTGACCTTTACAGGAACTCACAGTAAATGGAATACCTTGAATTTCTCAGATACATACAAAGATATACGTACATACATAAATATAGTGTTTTATGTTTGAGGTTTGCCTGCATTTTCATTGATTAGTTTCTCGGAAATGCTGTCAAATGCCATGAAAATTCCTGTTGACAGGATAAATGTAGTGGAAAAATGAAAGTCGTCTGCGTATGTACCATATACATATGTGTGTGTGTGTGTGTGTGTGTGTATGCACTTTAGCCAGTCCCTATTATTTCTATTAAAGGGCAAAAGGGCACGTGCAGAGGGCTGAGCGCAGGATAATGCTCATTGTGGACGTCATTTTCCTTAATTAGTTGCGGCTGCTGTCAACCTCATTGACAGAGCCTTTTCGCTACCCTCAGCCAACCCTCGCCTGTCTATCTCTCGACCCTTCCGTAAGGTCGTAAAAATGTTTTTGCCACTTGCATTATCAACAGAGCATCGAAAAAAACAAGTAAAATTCAATTGGTTGGGCATGTTCAACCGGAGGATACCCTGAATTTTGCTATTGATTGACAGAAGCCATCGATAGATCGTAAAAGAGATTATAAACGAAAGGAAAGAGAGAGAGAGCGAGAGAGAAAGAGAGAGTATGGCCTCTTATCTAACATCATACCCTTTTGCAGCCATATTCCATAACTAAAGGGTATACAAATCAATAAATACCTGGGCCAGCAACAGGAAGACGCGATAAGATAAGAACGTATCCGACAGAGGTGCACAGATCGAGCGAATAACTGTTGCCTGCCTCTGTCTGCGTTTGTTTACCTGTTGTAGGGCTGCCGGTGAGTGCTGCCGACTGCTGGCACTGGCAGTGGGCGTGGCTGGTGCTTGCAAATTCACAACATGTGTAATTTTATTTATGCGCTTACCGCAATTATTTCACCGAGTTTCACTGCGCTGACACGCTTTACATGCCCTGGGCCAGCACTTGAGATAGCTCGTATCTCACAGATACATTCATGCATTGTCTTTTGTCTCTGGCTGCGCTCATGCAAATTGTTCGGGTTCTCTTTTCATTTTTTATACCCTGAACCCATTGAAAATGGGAAATCAGGGTATAATGGT